CACACACACACACACACACACACGCACGCAGAGGGGGGAAAAATCCTAGAGCAAAACAACAGGGTGGGAATAAAAAGTATTAACAGGAGCTGGAAGAAATCCATCATAATCTTTTAAGAAGGAGGGGCTTCTTAGGGAATGGGGAGGAGTGGGTGAGGGAACTAGACTAGAATGAGCACTGATTTTAAAAACGCCAACACACCAATCAGTAATTCTCACGTTTAAAATATAAATTTGAAAGTGAGAATATGCAACAAAGCTGAACTTTAAAGTGAAGGAAAGAATGCTTCCGGAAAGGGAATGAGCTACACGTGCAACTAAAGAATCATTTGTACTGTGATTTTTTTCCCCAACATTGAGGGGATGAGGAAAAGTAAGGAGTCAAGCAGGAAAAATGGTTAGGTTGCAGTGTTTAGATTCACAGTTACTCGCCGATTCCCGCCATAGAAGTGTGTCTCATGCGCCAAAGTTGCCAACACTTAAAAAATACATGTTTGCATTAGTTCTGGAAATCCAGCACCGTGGCTCAACCTGTAAAGCAGAAACGACCCTTCCGGGGTAAAACAATCACTTTACAACGCACAAACAGGAAATAAAATCTATTCCCGGGGCGGAGAGGGTGAGAGGACGGACAGACAAGCGAATAACCCATCATTTGAAAGCCACATACCATCGCACTGCACGACCCTATAAAAGGTCTTGAGTCTGTTAACAACCCTGGGCCGCTGACTTCACGTGTCTCAGGCACAGATTTGTGGGTTTTTCGCAAGGGCTGTTTGGTGTTTTCTTTTTGTGTTTTTTTAAGCGATCCGAGAACGGTCCTATATTGTTTAAAAGAATTATTTCTGCCCTGCCACGGTTCAGGGCCCCGAGAGGACCAGAGGTCAAAGTCAGGTCCAAGAGCCGGCGCGGGCAGCCTGTCTGCGGATCCGGCTCCCTCCTCTCGCCCGCAGGAGGCGGCTTCCCTTGGTTGAGCTGAACTCCGTCCAGAGAGCGCGCGTGCGCGTGTGCAAGTGTGCGTGTGGGTGTGCGCGCGCGTGTGGTGGTTATTGTTGTTCAGCGGGGCTGCCGGGGCCGGGGCTGCGCCCGTCAGAAGCGGCCAGGACTGCGGGGTCAAACCCCGCCCGG